TTTAAATAAGACAGGTTCCTGTCAGATCCTCCTTAACAGTGTTCTAATCATCTGTACCTGATCTAGTACATCTGATTCTAATTTTAGGTATTTGAACTAGTGAAAAATGTAAAGGTGTACTTATTTTTTCCATATGCAAAATTTGCATTTATGTTTATTTAAATTACAAAATAGGCTACAAAATGTAAATGGTGCATATTTGTTACATTATATCCCCTTTATCTATCAGTACTGTTGAAATGAAGATCAAATAGTTAGTCTTTGGGTTACGACCACTCATTCAGCGACTGTTCAGTTACGATGGCACAGAATGAGTGGTACTTATGAACAGATCTCAAAGTTGTGGCCATCAGAGCCTCCCCATGGTCATGTGATCATGATTCAGGTGCTTGGCAACTGGGTCACATTTATGATGGTTGCAGCATCCTGTGGTCATGTGATCACCATTTGCAACCTTCTCTGCTGGCTTCCCTCAAGCAAAGTCAATGGGGAAGCCAACAGGGAAGATTGCAAGTTGCTCCCCTAAGTCGCTTCACCACTTTTTCTCCCAAGAAGCCCTGCTACAGTACTCCACAGCACCCCCTGCTTGCATTTTGTAGCACATGTGTGCCTGTAGTACCCCCCTGCCCACCTGCAGCCCCCTGGGCTGCGGGGATTTCCATCGCTAAGCAATGTGGTCATGTGACACTGTGCTTTATGACTGCACCACTTAGTGATGGAAATTCCAGTCCCAATTGTCATCGTAACCTGAGGACTACCTGTATACGTATGTTGAAATATACTGAAAGAGTCGAACATTTCAATGGGGTGTACTTACTTTTTCACATGACTGTATGCTGCTCTTAATTGTCTCACACATATATGTCTGGGTTCATCCTTGGACTGTTAATCTTCCAAGTGGGCCTCATTTTGTTCCTGTTATTGTCAGCAGAATTCAGTGTTATGCTGCAATCATAATTCACATTAAGGTGGTATAAAGCATTTGGAAGAAATGTCTTGCAAAGCACACTGGCATGAACAAGCACCCCTCCTTTGAACTTCAAAGTAACATCTTTTGAAAAACTTGTGCAGGTCCTTCTCAGGCTGTCCCTTGCTGCTTCTGCACGTATGCATGCATAGCTGCTTTACTGTGTCCCTGTGGAAGTACTGTCTGTGCACATACAGTACTGTGCAAAAGTTTTAGGCAGGTGTGAAAAAATGCTGCAAAGTAAGAATGTTTTCAAAAATATATATTGTAATTGTTTGTTTATAAATTTACAAAATGCAAAGTGAGCGAACAGAAGAAAAATCTAAATCAAATCAATATTTTGTGTGACTACCCTTTGGCTTCAAAACAGCATCAATTCTTACACTTGCACACTTTCAAGTCAAAGTCAGGGATCTTGTAGGATTAGAGTCAGGTGTATGATTAACTATTATACTGTACCACGCAGGTACTAATGATCATCAATTTCATATGTAGGTTGAAACACAGTCATTAACTGAAACAG